CCTCTGCAGCTTCCCACAAGCAAACTGGGCCCTTGGGGTGCTAGTTTCCGGGTGGGTGGGCTTGTGTACATTCCGCCTTGTGTGCCTCACTGGGTCTGCTCATTGCCTTCTCTCATCTGGGGTCTGCTAGCTACCACCTGTGCACCCTGGGTCTGCCAACCACCACTTTTTTCTGCCACAACCCCTCTCCACTGGCCACCGACTCCATTCCTCTTACTGGTCTGGATGAATGGTTGTTGAACTTCCATATGGTTCAATTTTCTGTCTGTTAGTTGTTTTTTTGTTTCTAAATTTTTGTTGTCCTTAATTTCAATTGTGAGAGGAGGCACAGTGTGTCCACCTATGCCTCCATCTTGGACAGAAGTCTTTTTTTTTTATTGCTCCTGTTCAAGGCTGCTTCTCCAAGCAAGCACCTGGCCTCTCACACAACCCAATTTTCCAACCAGACTGGAGATTATCCATCCGGGTCAGGGTCTGTCATGGCCCAACTCTTCTCCCTTCTCCCAGAGTCCCCCAGCTCCCCAATTTCTCTGGTAATGTTACCCAACTGGCATCCACAGTCTCAACATGTGCATACTGCTGCTGTGTTTGCCACTTCGTCTTAATCCCACCAGCGACTTCAAGCATCCAGGTCCAACCTGGTGCTGCTCAAACCTGTTTGTCAGGGGAGGTAGTTACTGACCTGGCTATCTTCCAAGAATCCTACATCTGGCCCAGCAGGCACTGGGCCTGGAGCTGCAGCCACCTTGATCCCCACCACTGGTCCCAGGGACCTTACTAACCCAAAGCAATCTCCTTACTATCTGATTTTTCAATGTCCTCTACAATTTTGGCCTCTAACCTTCGTATTTGCTGAGATACCATGGGCTGTTCACTCTGTTCCTCAGAAGATGGGCTATGTGTTCCACCTGTGTGCAGGGGGAAGTGGACTCTGCTCCCATCTATCTTGCTGCTATCTTTTCCCTTCTAGATATTTTTTCTGTTACAGTTTTATATATCATTTTCATAGGTAACATTTTGCTAAGAGATTATCCATTTCAAATCCTAGAACTGTAACAGATACTTGTCTAATTATAAAGTCTTTGTGACAAGTTTGTATTTACATTGATAGTGCCATTTAAACTTTATACTGTTGCCAATGAAACAATGATAATGACACTCAGAATTAATCTTAATATTTTGCTAAAGTTAAATTTTCCAATTTAAATTCAGGCAATGTATACTTTTCAAAAACCATATTACAGTAACATTTTCTACTGAGAATACTGTGTACATTGTACTTACCCACTCCATAAAAAAGTTAAAAAAGAAGAAAATCTCTTTAAAAAAGGCACTTTTAGTGGAGGTGTGTATGTGCATGTGTTTATTCATTTTAATGAAACTATTGTGTAATTTACTTAATGGGCTTTAGGTTGAAATTTCAAAAGATATCATGACTGTGAACAAAGTGATGATAAAGTGTATAATAAGGAATTAACAATTATTGGTGGCCTATGACACTGTTTATCTCCTTTGAAGTAGATGGAATACAAATTGCCTTCATTAGCTCAGCAATATGCTGTGGAGAATGACCTGGGTACTTATCAAAAGGTTCTTTCATTTAATTCTTTATAAATTATCAGGCTGCTCTCTTTTCTAGGTACTTAAGAGCAATGAATAGGAGAGAAAGAAAATGTTTTAGGTAAGTAAAACAGAGATTATGCAAGGACTAGATTTAAAAGAAAGTTTATCAGCCATGGCTGGTGTGGCTTAGTGTACTGAGTGCTGGCCTGTGAATTGATGAGCTGCCCGTTCGACTCTCAGCCAGGGCACATGCTTGGGGTTCAGGCCAGGTCCCCAGTAGGGGGTGCACATGAAGCAAAAACTCATTGATGTTTTTCTTACTCCCTTTCTCCTTTCCTTCTCTTTTCTCTAAAAATAAATAAATAAAATCTTTTAAAAAGAGTTTTATCAGTGAAGATGTCAGAATTGTGCTCTGTGTATTTGTGATACAAAGACATTCTCACAGTTAGGATCTAGGGTGGACAGACACATTAATTATCCCCACATTCACCATCACCCAAGAAAAGCCAGAAGTTGTTCTTTTGATCAATGACAAATACTCTCCAGGATACTACCCTCTTGTCCTGCTGTTGCTAAAGGTTGGAATTTTGATTGAGCAGTCAAATTTTACAGTATTAAATCTTGAACAGTCAGTTAACTTCTCCCTAATTCCATGGAAATGTGAAAAACTATTATTTTGCAGTCATTTTCTTAAACTCAATTAAAAGGAAATAATATATACCTATTTTACTAGTAAAAATATTTTTCCAAGTTAAACATTAAATATTAAAAAATAGTTTTGTTCAGGTTTTTAGTAATGGGCCTATTTACAAAATTATTATACTTGTACAGTGAAAGTTAAAAGGCAATCAAATATGTTAATATTTAATCTGATCCAATAGTCAGTCCACTGGCTTCACTGGACACTTTCAGTTATATATTTCAGAATCCTTTTCATCTCAGAATTCATTCCACATGTATATTCCTTGGAAAATTTCTTATATCATACAAAACACATATGCACTCATAACACTGATCTCACCCAAATCAGTGTATTCTCATTTCCTAAATCATCTCACATGCCTTCATAGATTTTTTTCTTAAAGCTTCTTATTTAAAAAAAATACTGGCTAATGCCTAAGAAAACCTTTGAGAAAGGATATATTTAAAGAATTTCTGCAACTTTCTGGAGGATTTCAATATTTTAAGAGAAAATATAGACCTTTGATAGGCTTCATCTCCTTTATAAATAATTTTAAAAATAATTTTACATTTATGAGGACACAAAGCCAACTTAACACAACTTCAAAGCTACAGATATAAAATAGCTGATTCATTATTGGAATGAAACAGTATTCATTGTTCAGAATTTTAAAAGAAAGTTCTTTTCTTGGAGGCACATGCAATTTTGACTGTCTCAGCAAAATTCAAATGTAAGTGCCATTTTTCTATGTTATTTAAAATGCAAACATTCCTTCCATTAAAAAAATAAATTTAATAATTGAAGATATCTGAACTATACTTCATTAAAATGTCTGTGGGGCTTTGATAAAAATAAAGTAAACCTATTTTATTTTAACTGATTTATGCATCAAATCAGTATGGTCCAGCTCCCCTGTTGCGGACATTTCAGTATTAGCTGCTCGGTAGAGAAGGTTACACAGGCCTGAATAGGAAAGGCTTCTACTTACAAAGTCCCAGCCCTGCAACACAGCAGAGAGAAAACCAATGCATGGTTTGGGAGAGCCTTCCTGAGCCAGCGGTCGGTTAGCCAGGGATCAAATTCAGGGCTGTCTGACACTAAAGATTTTGTTTTTCATTCCACAGCAGTGAAATCTCTCAACAATTTTTCATTAGTCTCCAAACTAGTTCTTTAAAATGATACCATAACTTAATATTATAGCCAATACATTTATTAGCAATTCAAAACACCATTTTGTTTAATACTAGATATTTTTGTAAAACATAGTTATTGCATTTTCTTTAAAATTTGATGTTATTTTAAGCTTAATTCAACCTAATTCATTCCATTCAGTGTTCGAATACTGCATGTTCTAAAAACACATGGCTATTAACATTAATCCAGCTTACTAAATTATCTGACAAACCTTAATTTGATGGCTAGGTTTAACACAGCAAGGAGAAACTAAGAGTGTTATTAGCTGATTAATTGTCTTTAAAACAATGCACACTTGTATTTTGAACAACATTCTACTATAGGGCAAGAAAAAATATTTATCTTGAATGTAAGAACTGGGAGATGGTTGATTTGGGACCTTATAACTCTAAGATCTTAACGATTTTCTGAATACTTTTTAAAATATTTTTATTTATTTACTTTTAGAGAGAGGGGAAAAGAAGGAGAAAGAGTGGAAGAGAAACATCAGTGTGTGGTTGCCTCTCATGTGTTCCATTTTTTACACCTGGCCTGCAACCCAGGCATGTGCCCTGACTGGAAATCAGACTAGTGACCCTTTGCTTCACAGGCCTGTGCTCAATCCACTGAGCTACACCAGCCAGGGCCTCTGAATGTTTTATTAAACATAAAATTGAAGTATGGTTTGTTGTCTAGGAAGAAACACGTTTCTTATTTCAAGTAACTATTCTTTTAGTTATTGAGTTTTTTATTTTTTACATTATTTTTGCATGTGAAAATAATTATAAGATTAGAAAACTAATAGATCTGTCAACACAGATTGGCAAGAAAGTGGTTTTGATAAAAATAAAGAAGAATGTAATACAAAATAATAAATTTTGTAGTTGCACTAGATTGGGAGACCAAGGAAATAGATGAGACAAAAGGAAAGGGGAAAATTTTACAAAATAGAAATGTATTAATAGAAACAAAAAATAACATAAAAGATACAGTAGAACCACATCATAAATGTTAATCAGGGTTAAGTTCAAGCGGAAACATTGAAATGAAGTATAAAAAAAGAAAAACAAAATTTGCTTAATGCACACCCAATGACTTAAATTCTATTAAATATTTTAAGTGTGCTCTGGCCCATGTGGCTCAGTTGGAGTATTGTCCTGTAGCTGGAGGGTTGTAAGTTTATTTCCCAGGCAGGGGACATGCCTAGGTTGCAGTTTCAATCCCTGGTCCAGGTGTATACAACAGGCAATCAATCAATGTTTCTCTCTCTCCCTTCTCTCCCCTCCACTCTCTCAAAAAGCAATGAAAACATGCCCTTGGGTGAGAATAAAAATATATTTTAAGTGACATTGTACAAAAGTTAAAACTTCTCATCTTTAATCATAGGATCACATGAAAACCATCATTATCTAATAGCCCATACAAATTCTTATTCTGAAAGTTTATTAAAAGCCTCATATATTGTTTCATAATTTTAAAAACAAATTTAGAATTGATACCTCAAGTTCGTGAATTAATTGAGCATTCCAAAAATGAAATTAAAAAATAGAACTGTTTAATATGAGAAGAGTGATGCACTTACCATCATGATTTGGATTTCCTAGTGTCCATGGCTCATCGGAGTCAAAATGAGTGTCTCCCCCAATTCCTGGTCCTGGGAAGTAGGCATGTGCCAAAAACCCTCCCTCTCCATCAAAGGGTGAGCTGTCTCCATGGAAACCAGAAGCAAAAATGATGGTTATATCCACGTCTCGTTTACCATTTTCTAATTCACTGTAGGGCACTTCTTCGAATGTCAGAGGAGTCACATTCTGCCACACATCAAAGGCACGACGAATTGCTTTACGGGTTTCAGGCTCCCCTACTTTTGGAGTTACGTTCTTTATACTGAAATTTAGAGAAAAGAATAATTGTCATGACTTTGCCACATATAGTCTGACTTATTAAAGATTTTGATCTATTCAGTGAATAAAATGTTAAATAGGAAAGGAACAAATTAAATTATTGCAGCTAAATTTCACTACACTGGAGTCATGCAATTTTCAACAGCATAGTATTCTTTGGTCAAGACTATAAGTGAGAAAGTCCCTGAACAATGAGGGACAGTGGATCTTTGGACCCAGCAGGTACGTTGCCTCCTGAACAACCACAGGAAGAAGACTTTGCTTAATCATCAGACAGGTGCAGCAGTTTGGAGCTGAAATTTAAAAACAAAACAAAACAAAACAAAAAACTTTGTTTCTTTCTGGTTGTAGTTACTTTTAAATATACAGCATTTTGTGCCCACACATGACTTCAAAACAATGTCTTATGCATCTATGATCACCAATTCCTCAAACATAGTTGTTTCTGAGTTTTTAAAAGAAAAAAATCTAATTGCAGTTTCTGAGTTGTATTATTTTCTTATTATATACTTAAGGGTTTTTAGTTAAAATAAGCACTGTGAGTGAATTTGCTTTTTAAATATAAATATATAGCTATTATATAAATGTAAAGAAGTAACTTACACATTATTTATTTAATTAGTTTGCCTTGATGCTCTCAATTCATTTAGCACTAATTAGGTATTTCTTATTTCTCAGTTTTCTTTACTTTTTTCTAAATAGAATATGAATGAAATAAATATACATATATATCTTATACTGTGGTAGTATAAGTTCATATCGTTTTTGTGAAAAGCAATGAGTAATTTCCATGAGAAGCATTAATACATTTTATAATCCTTCACTTCAACTGGTAATCTTACAGCCATGAATCCATGAATTCTCACTGAAGACCTATCATAATACATAAAGGTGGGTGTAATATTCAAGTGAATATTCATTGCAATGGATAATAAAGAAGAATTGGAGGTAACTGATTTATAATAATGGAATAATTGCTAAATTATGGTGTTTCCACTGCATGTCACAATATGAAATCAAAATCAGTTTTGCCTTTTTAAGGCATTTAGCAGCATAGAAAAAGAGCTAAGATATACTTTCAAGTGGAAAAATTATATGTAGATTATATTGTGAACCTGATTTTAACTATGTCCATATATTTACAAATGTCAGGCAGAAATCATGCTAAAATAACAATAATGGCATTAGCATTATTGTAACAGGACACAGAATGTAAACCCCACAATTCTTGATTGGGGGAAGGGAAGATTGGATGGCATGGCAATACCTCATTTAAGATACATTGCATAACAGTCTCAAGTTAATAGCCATACCTTCCTGAAGGAAAAAGGGCTGCTGCACAGCACAAATTGTACACATGACTCTGAGAACCTAAGTGGAGGGGGGCTGTGGAGGGAGCTCATACTGTGTTTATGAGAGATGCAGGGGGCAGATGCTCACCCTGAATACCCATCTATCATTGGGAAATTTTCCCCTGACTAAAGATGGTAGTTAAAAGAAGGTAAAAGATACGGGGGGGAAATTGCAAAAAGGCAAATACTAACAATACCCTAGGAAGGGCTGGAGATGAGATCACACAGGAAGCTCCAGGACAAGCATTTAAATTTGGTTAGACTAAAAGAGAGTAGAGCAAGCCATGAGATATGGGGTGAGAGAAGAGGTCAGCTGGGAGGTCTGAAAGTCAGAAAGAGAACCACAAGGAGGACAGATAGAGGTCTGCCTGGAGAAGATGGCAGCAGAGCTAATGGAACTGAGGGAACCTGCCTAGCCCCCAAGACTAATGAGAGACTCTTGGAGCTGTACTGTGCCCCAGAATCCTAAATTGCAGACTTCTGCTTCTTTGAAGAACATACAGAGAAGCCACACTCCTAGGACATGTACATCCCTGGACTCCACTGTGACCCAGTGTAACAAGGCACATGTTTTCCTGAACTAGTACATGGAGACTGAGAATAGTGCACCACACATACTGAAGGAAAGAGCTGCTGAGAGAGGATGACCACTCTGAAACCCACAGAGCATATTGCAGGGGCGATATAAATCTGTTTGCTTGACTGGCTTAAAGACAGAGAAGGATATAGGGAACTTCCGGGCATGGTTTTAGCTTATAGTCTTTTGAGAAGAAAGGGAGGCTCTGAGGCTTGGGGAAGAGGAAGGCTTTGAGCAGGGATGCTCTCGGCCCCACTGACATTGGAATCCTGTTAATAAACAACCCTTTCCTTCAACACTAATTGTTGGGTCATATGTAAATACACCAGGTAGTCAAGCCCCAGCTTGCTCAGTAGCAGTATTGCTATGAGCCAGGTAGGCATTTCATAGCACCTTAGTTAATTCCCCATGGTTACCCAATGACATGGGCATTTATATCAATTTTACAAAGAAAGATGTTGAGATTTAGAGGCATTTGGAGGAAATTCAGAGTGGCATGGCTGGTTTTTCAACCCAAACATTCTGACTCATGGATCCATTGTTTTACATTCTAAGCTGGACTTGCACATCTAAAACAAGATTATCACTACCCTTTTAACACAGGTTCTGGAACATGTTCACACTGACAGTTTGATGGTAAATATTCTTTTTTTAAAATAAATTTTTCTAATTTTATTTAGTTATTTTTCAAGTACAGTTCTTTGTCTATTTCTCCCATCCCAGCCCCCCCACCCCGTGCTCCCTACCTCCCTCCCATTTCCACCCCCCTTAGTTTTCGTCCCTGTGTCCTTCCTATTTGTTCCTCCAAATCCCTCCCCTTTTTCCCCTTAAATTCCCTCCCTATCCCCTCTGGTCACTGTCCCCATGTTCTCTATTTCAGTGTCTTTGTTTTTATTCTGCTTGCTTGTTTGAAGCATTATGCTGAGTGAAATAGGCCAAGTGTTGAAAGACAAATACCATATGATCTCACCTTTAACAGGAAGCTAAACAACAAAACAAACAAGCAAGGTAAATATTCTTTATATATGAAGAAAATGAGGAAGGAAACCACATGGAAAGGGGTTGGGTGGGGTATTTCAGGAAGAGATAGTGTGGACACATTGGGAGTGTGATGTGCAACCTGGGCAGAATGGGGCAACATTGAGACAGGGGCCAGCAAGGGGAAGAATGCAGACAAGGCAGGGCCTGCCGGTGCTGTCAGCAGTCTAAGTGGGAGGTGAAGACCTAGAGTATAGTGAAAAGAGAAGTGACATTGAATTAGGTGCTAGGTAAACAGCTGGGGTCATTAAGGGGAAATGAATATATTAACAAGGAGAGCGGAAGCAAGGAGACCTGAGGGACTTTTGCGAAAATTCAGGCTTGAGGTGATGGACTTTGGACCAGGGGATACTGAGAATTGGTTGGATTTGGGACATACTGTGAGGGCACATCTGCCAATATCTAGTGATGTTCAGACATGGGCTGTGACAGAAAATCAGTGCCAAGGAAGATACCCTATTATTCAACGTGAGCCAAAGGATGGAGAGAATGAAATAATTCATGCCTGCTGAAGGATAGAGTGACACAGGGCTTTGTTCATGTTTTATTCTATCTTATTCATTTTTGTTTTAGCTTTGTCTCATTCTGCATGATACTCTAAACTCTATTTGAGAAAGGGAAACTTGCAACACTGAGGTATCACAGACCTTCATCCAGCTTGTTTTTAATCTCTGAATCTCTTGTTGATGGCTGTAGAAGCAAAAGGATTAATGTTATAATTTTCCTAGCAGTATTTTATTTCCTTTTCACACTACAGGATCTCAGAAGCAACCCCCCTACCGCCATTCATAGGCAAGTATTTTTATGATATATTTTTTGGAAGAACATAGTAGAAAATGAATACTGTGCCAGGTATGAGAGGCAGAAGTGCAAAGCATACTGCTTTTGCAGGACTTATATATTCCAGTGATGTAAGAGAAATAATAAAAAAATGACCACAAAAGAAAACAATTGCAGACATGATGATGAGGGGTGAGAAGGCCAGGCAAAGAAATGACAAAGGCAATTTCAATGACCAAAGGCATCACATGTGCCTAGCACCAAGTTCCTAGGAAAAAAGGGGCCATGAGAAACATGAGTGAAGCTGGCCTGGTCAAAACAGATTGCTCAGTGAACTGATCCAAAGAAGGTCCAGCACCCAGCAACCAGAGGGGAGACAGCTCATAGGAACAGACCATATTCTGTGACAAGACACCATCAGAGTGTTATAAGTGGAGGAGTACCCTCGTAGTATTTCAGTTTACAAAGATCACTGTTTCTGATGAAAAACAAATAAGGGGCTATGAATGGAAGGATAAAAACATTTCAGGAGTTTAAGCAAAAGAATACAGATGCTTCCTTGAGTCATCATTGTGGGGATACAGAGTTAGTGTCAGACAGACATTTTCTGAGGACATCATTGATGGAAATGGTATTGATTTGAGGTATAGTAGGTAAATTATTTTGTTTTCAAATAGAGGATAATTATACAGCAAAGAAAAGAAATGAAATCTTGTTGGCATGATATATATTACTCGTATATGTACCTAATGGTTCAGAGAAAAATGAAGCTATATAATAGACAGTAATAAATTTGGAGTACCATTTGGATTGGGAAACTTATCCTTTTTCAAGCTATGGACTTAATAGCTACCAAAATATGTTGAACCACAATATTTGTGGTGTTACTAATAAATACAAGACACATGAGTGCACCTTGAACTTAGAGTTCTGAACCAAATGCAAACAAAAAACAATTTAGAAAACTTATGCCATTGAAAGATGATTTGTGTATTTACTAAAAACTTAAATAATAAAGGACACAGAGAAATCCTGTGATAGTGTTAAATAAAACTGTTATTTTTAAAAATTCCAATGCATGACACGAAATTATAATAAATACTTGTAAAAATAATATTATAAAATAAATACAATGAATGTTATATTTAAAATGCTTAATAGAGTTATTTTACTTTTATTCAGATTTTGCATAACTGGTGACAGCTTCACTTTTTTTCTGTGTACTACAAATAGCCACAGACTGAAGACTGAAGACAGAGTCCCTCCAGGAAACCTTATATTAAATATCTGCTTATTTATCAAGCTTTTCAGACAAGGTAGATTTAAGCCCACATAACTTTGGGTCTTACTTAAATAGTATCTGTTTCTCAGGCTGCTGTGTGTCCAGAATAATTCTGTTTGAAGTCAACGTGAACATCAGCCCTGGCTGGTGTAGCTCAGTGGATTGAGCGCAGGTTGAGAACCAAAAAGTCGCCAGTTTGATTTCCAGTCAGGGTACATGCCTGGGTTGCAGGCCAGGTCCCCAGTGGGGGGCCATGTGAGAGGCAACTACACATTGATGTTTCTATAACTCTCTCCTTCTCTTTCCCTCTCTCTATAAATAAATATATAAATAAATAAAATCTAAAAAAAAAAAACCAACCATGATCATCAGTTTCAGTGAGTTTATTGGCTTCAGAGGAAAAATCAGGTTTCTGAAAAGGAATGGATTGATACTTAAAAATGTCTGAGTATTTATTCTGCATAACTATTAAAGTAAAGTAATAATTCCTAGTGTGTGTCCTCAGTAGTCAAGGAAGCATTCAGTTTAAATCAGAGTTTGCCAGTGAACAGTGAATTTGTGGGAAAAAAGCATTAATTAATATACTCCAACATAGTATTATCATATTAATGAATATATTATAAATATTCACTAATATAATACAATTTTAAAATTAGATGCATCTGGCAATTGCCAGTACAACCATCTTCTATGAAATTTTATTTTTTTATATATTTTTTATTGATTATGCTGTTACAGTTGTTCTATTCCCCTTTCATTCCCCTCCACCCTACCCCCCATCCCCACCATTACCCCCCAAATGAAGTTGTTTAAAAAAAACAAAAATTCTACAGGTCAGAAATTCAGATCTATTTAAAGAAAGAACAAACGCTAGGGAAGAAATAAAAATAATAATTGTCATTATTTTAATTGCTCTAACAGATAGTTGTTCAAAATGCTAATAGCAACAACATGTTGGGAGAATATAAATATTAGGTAAATGAAGAAAATGCCAACAATGTTATAAGAGACAAGAGGGAAAAATTAGAGATACTGTGTCATAGGATACCTGCAATCTGTAAAGTAGTATATGTAGTGTTATTTGAAGAATTACTTTGATTAATTTAAATGTAGTTCAAACTCTAAATCACCACTAAAATACTTTCTAAAGATCATCGATATGCTAGTAGAAAACAGAAATGTATGAAGTACTCATTTAAAACAAAAGAAGACAGAAAAAGAGAGAGAACAAAAAATAATCCACAAGAATAACAGCAGTGGGCAGCAGTTAGAAATATGAAATATATTAATTAATCTATATCAATAATCACTTTAAATGTGAATGGTCTAAATATACCAATGAAAAGACAGAGACAGTGAATTAAAAAGCAACACCAATTATATGATGCCTACAAGAAATCCACCTTAAATATAAAGACATTGATAAGACTAAAAGTAAAGAAATGAAGAAAGATATACCATACTACACTAATCAAAATAAAACTGTAACAACAATATTAATTTCAGACAAAGCTGATTTCAGAGCAAAGAAAATTACCAGGAATAAAATAGGGCATTACATAATGATAAAGGTATTGATTTTGCAACAAGACATAGCATACTTTAATGTGTGTATGCCTAACAACACAGAAACCAAATACATGAGACAAAGCCTGATAGAATTGCAAGCAGAAATAGATGAACATGTTGTCTTAGTTGGACATTTTAATAGCTTTCTATCAGTAATGACAGACTGTACAAACAGAAGATAGGTAAGGGTATAGTTGAACCAACACCACTATTAATCAACTCAACTCAACCTAATTGATATTATAGAATACTTCACCTTCTGGTCAACAGATCTGGCAGACATCTCACCAAAGAAGATATACATATGGCAAACAAACATATGAAGATCATATGTCATCAAGGAAATGCAAATTAAAACAACAGTAAGAAACTGCTACATGCCTATTAGAATGGTTACAATTAAACCATTGACAATACCAAGTGCTGTCAAGGCTGTGAAGCAACAGGAACGCTCATCACTGCTGGTGAAAATGCAAATGGTGCAGCTGCTCTGAAGACAGTTCCTAACAGCTAATCATAATCTTATCATAGATTAACAATCACACTGATACTAAAAGTTAATTAAAAATTCAAAGACATATTTTTAAATGGCTGTTACTTAGATATTTTATTATTTTGGTATTTTTTAGATTATGAATTTTTGTTAAAGAATGCCATGTGTTCAGATACTCATCTGACAATCCCTCAGAATACAGGTATTCATTTGGGGAAGCTGAAACATCTAGTTTACAAAAGAGACCAAGTGTGTCTAGGAATGACTACACAACTGCCTAGGGATAATATATTCTCACTTGCAGTATTAAGCTCCTTATGTGCACAATGTATTACTATATGTTATCATGTAGTCAATGTGCGTAAGATGTCAAAAAGAATGTCAGAGTAAGTAGCCGTTACAAATGGGGAACAGGACTTCACCGTTGGTGCTCGTACCTGTAGGTGATGTGTTTGTGCTGCCACTTCTGGCCTGTTAATGCATATCGCTTCCGACGGATGTTGAATTTGGAGCTGCCTCTTGTCTGGTCAGGTACACCACACCGAGGTTTCTTCATCCAGCTGCAAAAGGTAATGTCTTCCATTACCGATTATTCACTTCCAAAAAAACCAACCAAGAGTGATCATGAAAATGGGAAAACATATAGGAGAAAACTGTCCATTCTCTTGTGGTTTTAATCTAAGTAGAAAGCACACTTTCCCCCCAGATGATCGGGAATTAGTAGCTTACAACTCAGAACTTTTAGATATGTTTCTCTGTCTAGTTTCTTTTGAGCTAACTGTAGACTGAGTCTCACAAAATTAGACTTTTAAAATAAACATAAAATAAATTATCAGTAAGGTATCTTCCAGCTTTAACATTCAACAATTCTTAAAATCTATTACATGATCTTAAATCCCAGGAGTTAAGAGGGTAAATGTTACTCTCTTTAGCTTACAGAGAGTTAACTTGTTTGCTTAAAATTTGCCTTTCTCTGCCTTTTTCTTCTTTTACCTTCATTATCATAATTTCCAAATAACAGCCATGTAACAACCACATTCAGTGCTTAAAAATATTTTTTGAATGTAAGAGTTAACATCACACAAATAAGGTTTACTATGTATATATTAAGAAAATAAAATGCTGCTTTTGATTTATAAACTTTTAATACTTATACAGATACAGTGGTCTGCTTTCCTAGAAACTTATTTGACCATTGCTATATTTTTATGTGTTGTTGCTTCTTGTCCAAACAGAAAGATTTGCATGCTTTTCAGTATTTTTTTCCTCAGTGACCCATAAAATGGCTTTACTGTTTATGACACCATTTAACTTAACAATTGTAAAGCTAATGCATAATCTCTATAATTCAACATGCTTCAGAACGTGGAGATAAAAGACAGTATTTCACAAAATACTCAAAAATTTTTATATTCTCTAAGTTGACTATGGAGAAGACTATCTAAGGATATATATATATATATATATATATATATATATATATATATATATCTGTTTTGTGAAAATGAATAAAATAGTTTACATGTTACAATGGATAAATCAGCTAATCATCTTTTATAAACAAAGAAAAACTTCATGCAACAATAAAATCACGACTTTTACTTTTTAAGAAAGATGATGCTTTTTCGGTATGGTGTACAAGACTCTCCTTTTTGCACTGGATGAAAGAAAGTGAAGGAATTAGCTAAAGAACATATATGCATAATCCACAGACACAGACAACAGTGTGGTGATAGCCAGAGGGAAGGTAGGGTAGGAGCTGAGGTGAGATGGGCATAGGGGCAGGGTTAATGAGGACATCTGTAATATTGTCAACAATGAAAGTAAAGTTTCAAAATAAAGTTTATCTTTTTTATTCTGCCCCAGTACCAATGTAGACATTGCAGTGACCGGACTTAACAGTTCTACCTAGATCATAATAGATCATAACACATGTTGTGTTACTTTAGAAAATCACTCTTTGTGTTTATTAGAATATCCAAATCAAATGAGATATCTTGAAAATGCTAACTCTTAGCAGGCTACCATACTATGGAACTTAACTCAGAGCTGAGGATAAGACCCTCTGATTTTAAACTAATATCTTGGGCACCACTCTGAAACCACAAAATTTGAGAGAGATTTCACAAGACTGTAAAACACAGAGGGCAGAAGATATACAGATTCCCAGTGCCTTGAAGACCCCTGGCATAAAAAGATATATAATGACTAAGTGGAACTAAAAAAAATTACTTTCCATTATTATACATTGTATGATCTAGATCTAGATCTAAATAGCAAAAACTGAGCATTAATGGTAGGCTGATGATGATTTAAGTGACTTTTAAATTAGGTATTTCTTTAATTACATCAACAAAAATTATTATATGCCCAAGACAGGTATATATCCTTACTTATTTCACTGAAAGTACTGGAATTATAAATAATATAAAGTTATTAAATATAACCAAATGTACTTAATGTGGAATGTGGGTATACTTATATTTAGCTAGGGAAAATATTTAAGAAAACACTCTGAATGCAGAAATAATCTTGAAATGGATAGTGAGATAAAATTTAACAAAACAGAATTAGTTATAATCAGAATCAAATGTATGTTCAATAAAGATATATTCTGTAAAAGTAGGTTAATAATCCACAAAATTAAAACGTGAAATTAGTAAAAAAATTAATTTGTATTACTATTCAATTTTGTTTTCGGCCATGCACATGCTGAATCTAGTACATTTTCTCAGGGTAGGACAGGTTTTCAGGGATGAGTGTTGGATCTCTGTGCCAAAATATATCTCTGTTTAATTCCTTATGTATTTTTTGGGCTTTTGCATATAATTTTCTTATGTTACAATTATTTGTTTTATTTTTTCTTAAACTAATTTTTATTTTTAATTTAAATATGTATATTATTAGTATTTGTTCCCTTATTTACTCGTCCCTATCCATTCATCCTAAATATTTATGAGCATTTATAACATACTGAGAGATATTAAAATCACGCGTGGATAAAAATATAAGCAAGGCAAGAGGTCCTTGCTGAGTTCCCATTTTGTAGGTCAGATATGTGTGATAAAAAAGAATCACAGTATAAAGGCTAACTCGCACCTCATCTGGATATCCTGTCATCTTGCCTAACTTTACATATAATAAAAACAAAATGGTGTTTCTCCTGCCCAAAACTTGCACCGATTGCTTAGATGCCTTATCTCAGCTGAAAATCTTAGCATCTTCTTAATGCCTAAGCTGGATACCTAGGTCCATCCTCCCCTGCTTGCCCTGGCAACTGATTAATCACAATGCAATCTTTCTTGCCTTGAATAACTTCTGTAATCTCTCCCTCTTACCAATGCCTTTCTTCTTCCTCCTAAAGATAAATCTTCCCAAAGCACAGATGACTCTTTTCATATTCTGAGCATGAAATGCTCTGATTCAGGCCTGTTTAGCAAGGTATCCCCTGTCTTCTGCTTCCCCAGATCCACTCAGGGTTCCAAAGACTAGGCTACTGTTTGCTTTGAATGCAGTGGCCTGTGTCTGGAATATCTTTCTTCCTTGCTCACACGGAGAATCTTAATCATCCTTCATTATGCAACTCACACAGGCAGAGTTGGTCATCCTGGCACAGCAGGTGTTGCACTGTGTGCTCTGACTTGTGTGCCTGTGTTCATTTCTATTGGCCCATGAGTCAGGTCAGAGAGCCTGGTGTGGGGCCAGCACCCAGGGATGTCTTCAGGAAGGAAATGAAGCTAATGAGCTAAGTCTGCATGACTTCTTTACATTTGCTGATCTTTGCCAGTATCCCCAGTGTTTCTCAAGGAATTTGTAAATCTTTCCAGCTCTGTGACTTGAACAGAAGCGTATTCTGAGGGCAATGTGCAGACACATTTATGTAAGACTAACTCATAAGGTAGATGACTTACTGTAAGAAATAAAGATAAGAACAGGCATAACACCAACTAGTAACTTAATGCAAAAAAACCCTTAGTGATGGTTGATCAAGTTGAAAACATTCTACATTAACTTCAACAATATTTATACCACACATTGTGACACAGAGATATTTATGTCTTATTTACTGAAATATATAAAATTCTAACAATATGGCTGAAGAACATCATGACACTAAACATGATACATAGTATCTGAGATAAATTGTTCTCTGAGCTTCTCATATGACTCCAACATTAAAAATATCCTTTAACTTCATAATCAGTCAGGTTTTTTTCATATAAGTTTTAAAGTTCTTGATGGATATAAAGAATAGTCAGTGTTCAAGAGAACCCATTGATGAATTCCAGGTTATCTAATACTCAGTGTAAATGTGTGTTAAATTAGGTCATTCAGGGGAATCTGGCAGTGACAGTCGTTTCTTTTTTTTTTTTTGACAGTTGTTTCTAAATCAACATGAACTTACTGCTCAACAAAATGTTAGTTGCCCCATATGTCATTTTAATACATCCCATATATACTTGGAACAATGGAGTAAACTTGGCATGCTCAAGGAAACATGATGGTGTCGCTGAAGGTAACAAACATCACAGGAAATAAACAAGTTTTGACATGTGTGTGCATGTGTGTGGGGGAGATTTTTAGGCAGTGGTTTTTTGTGTGAAATATCATTGCTAAGACATCCTTATTTTCTGTTATGTCAACACACAGCTCAGATATGTGAGCTTCTTTGCTGACTCCTTGGTAAATGTTTAAAGTTGACATTCCACAGGAAGCAGAGACTTCTGGACTGGATACAGGGGGAGGAGCATTTGTAATTATCAGGCAAGCACACTGGTTCCTCTGCCATTTTCATAAATATAATACTGGAATTCAGTATTGATCTGATTGTTTAGAACCCAGAGTGTTTCTAAATTAGTTGCTTTATGAACAGCTTTATTTAAATTAACACAATTTAAAGAGGAAAAATATCTAAAATCAGTTCTATTGAAAGCAGCTGCATTGTAAATGTTGGTTGGGAGTGGGGCCTGAAAGCCTGATAGCAGTTTCCACCTGCTATCAGTGACTCAAAGCTCGGGACACTATTTAGCCTGTTGTTTCTCTCTGTTTCTTAGTTTCTTCTTCTATAAAAGGGCAATAATAGTACTATTGTTGAGTTATTGTGAGGGATAAATTAAGTAAATCACATGCAATATGTAGAACAGAGACAAGCAAATAGAGACTGCCTCTGTTAGTATAATTATAACAATACTAATTTTACAAACAATAGGATGCAATTGCATCCACCAGTAGAAGCAGCAGCAGACAGATATTATGGATTGACAGGTGTCCACTCACTCTGACCCACATGTGAACATAAAAATACCATCAGACACACTAGCCTATTCTTTAGGTAAATTGCATAGCCATGAACTTTTCATCAATTTGGTAGTAACCAGCTATTAGTTTCAGTCAAAAAAAATTTAATAAGTCAATCATTCATGTCAAACCTATAGGGCCACCCACTGTAAGACTCCAATAGACCCCACATCATAATGTACAACCTGGTGCCCCACATACTTATTACCTCCTTTACCAGAGAATAAAACTGACTCACAAAATATGTCTTGCATGAAATAAT